TTTCCCCACACACACTGTTTTCTAAATTTCCCATTCAGATAATTATTTGTCCACTGTTTTTATTACCAGACCACTTTGTCTTGTCAAGTGTATCTGCAAACTGTCCCATAACTATGTTGGCCTCCGTGTCTTTCGCTCTCCACACCCCACATGTGTGGAAAAAACAGCTTGAATATTTGATTCCCAGAATGACACCTAACAGACTTTGGGGCTTAAGGTTAATGCTTGGGAAAATGTGCATTTAACTATACCATTAAGCGTTTTAAAGCACTCGGAAAGCTCCTTTAATAAAGCTTGTTTAAGGGGACATGCGTCAGATTGCTGTTCCACCGCTCAGGTCTTTTGTTGAAGGTTTAAATCCTTTGACCCAGTGACCCACTCTAAGTGGGTTTCTCTCATTCCTTATCGGATTGCCACACCGATCGCTTTTAAGGATGTGTGGCCTTAAGTCACGAATGAGGATTTGAGCAGAAAAGTTGCAGATAAGTGGTATTTGAGACGCATTACACCACTCGCAATACTCATAACACTGTATAAAAAATAATTTGGGTACAGTACGGTTCATTTGGCATAATGAATTATACACATTTTAGGCATAATGTAAGAAGGGGAGACCAGGCTTGGTGGGTTATGGGTTCATTTTTGGTTCATAATTGCATGCACTCTTAATCGACACATTCTATCAAGACAAAGTCAACATGGAACTACAGTTGTGATTGTATTTTCTTCCCTATTGTGACGTATATCCGAGTGTAACGGCTTCTGGAATGAGAAAAAAGTAGGGCGGGATTTGTTTTTTTCGTCCTCAGGAACTGCCAGTTTGTAGTTAGTTGTGGAGGATTTTAAGTCTCACCCTCCGCCGAGACACACGTCATGAAGAGAACAGACGTTGTTTCGAGGGGGAGGGGAGGTTAACGATTTTCCATTAAAGGTGCAGTAAGCAATTCCTGAGAAACGCTGTTGATATTTAAATCACGCCCCTACCCAAAAAAGATCACACCCCTATCTTGATAGCTCCGCCCCCAAACTCACAAGCACGCTATGCAAAACAGGGACCTCCCCCCTCACGAATATGTATATTATATTATTATATTAAATATGTGTATACGCCCCTTACTGCTGATTGGCTACAAGTGTTTTTTGGTGCTTTCAACAGTGTTTCTCAGAATTTGTTTACTGCGCCTTTAAAGATTAATGATGTGCATGGATGAATTATTTATAAGCACAGCAACATTCTGTAAAAAAAAAAAAGAGTTGTCAATTTTGATTTCATGGTGACCATAAAAGATCAAAACATGCTGAGGACAACCAACAGCAATAGGAATAAATGAATAACTTAATTAATTAAAAATAGATTTTTTCTTTTTTAAATGAATGAAAATATATATAAATGTTAGAGATGTGAACCAGTTTGATTAAAATTGTTAAAAATAATGCCAGTTGACTTCATTTATAGAAAGTGTCAAGCGAGGATGATCGGCACGTTGGTTTTGGGGCACAGTGTAAAAGAGTTGATAATTCATCATAGCATATGTGAACATTTACACACACACACACACACACACACACACACACACACACACACACACACACACACACACACACACACACACACACACACACACACACACACACACACAAAGAGTAAAACAGGACCGCAACCACCGTAGATCTTGAGAAGGAATACATCAATATTCAGATTAGCGGTCAACCAATTTGAATTTTGTAATGGCTGGTCCTTAAAATGTTACATTTGGTTTTTTCAAAATGATTCTAAAGTGTGATTAAAAACGCCATTTTAAAAGAGTTGAAAAATGCTGAAAATTAAATTACAAATATTATTCATTATTATAATGTAATATATAATTATATAAGACATGTGCAATGTAAATGGTATTGGTTTAGTTTGAAATAAACAGGCTTTTAACACGGTTCCAACCAGGGTTTGCACATTTACACAACATAACTGTAGCCCTTAATCAAGTTACTGATCATTTCCTGACATTGAAATGATCTGATTTACCCAATAACTTTCATTTGCTCTTAGTTGGGTTTTGAACAGATTTATTCATTTGTTTTTCCGAATCCAAAAATATACTAAATCAAGTATCATATGTAAATATCTAACATCTTGTGAATCTGTAGAATTGCTTCCAAGCTGTTACAGAGTCAGGCAGTATTGAATAGTATTTTAACCCATCAAAAATAATGAAATAAATAACCCACACAACATCTAAAGCTATAACGCTGACGATACATGATAATACAAAACCCCCGACAGTGATTTTGAGGTGATGCAGCATTGAGGTGGTTTGGAGGACCACCGGTTCCCGTGTGGGTTTCAGCGAGGCAGGTTTTCATGGGCTGACGAACCTGAGATTGACCAGAACTCAAGCATTCTCAGGTTGGACAGTCCTCAAAAGCACTGCTCATTCACCATGGTCAGATCACACCCACCACAGATTAGCATCGTCTAGCAAAAAAAAAAAAAAAATTGTGATCAGCGAAATCTAGACTTGCCAAAAACAAAATTCATTGTATCATTTTCATACACAGCAGATGAGGAGAGGAAAATAATTGCATGTCTTGAATGCAGGAAAAGCAAGCACATTCACGTCATTTGGAAATATAGAATAAATAGATGGAGGAATTTAGAATTATATTTGTGAAACATCTCCTAGATTTTCCACACAACCAATATATAATAATGGATCCATAATCTGGATGGAATCTGAGCACATTTCAAGTACAAGAATCACGACACCAAATTTTGTTTCACATTGACCAAATGTCCCCCATAAAAATTCGTTATGCCCCTTTTTCAATAGAAACGACTCATTAGTCCATTATTAGACTCATTATTGGCATGAAATTTAACTCTGTCACGCAGTTTGTGTGCTAGTACATCATGAGCAACTTTCGCGCCGTTCCAGCTGGAAATGGCCATTGAAACGTTTCCTTTAACTGGCTACATCTATAAAATATCTATACATAGGCTACATACATACATACAATTTGAATTATTCATTAATATGAAGCTAAAACCAAGACAATTGGATCCGATGCAATATCACAATTCACAACCATAATCAATTAGCTGCGATGTGTCTGACGGTAATGGCTTTACAGAACAACACCGTCCCACAGCCTCAACCCAAGCTCCTAAGATCAACGTTTGACACCAGGACGACATTCGCAAACATGAAAACCTCGACAAAAAACTGTAAACAAACATTTTTGCACACTCACTTAATAGGCTACATTTCATTTGGCATTGACTGTGAGGCTGGTTCATGCAGATGTGCTAAACACTCACCTCAGCCTTACCTACACAGACGCTCAGTTGTTCCACGTTGAGAGGAGATTTCGAGGCCTTCAAAATATCAACCTTGTCATCTTCTCGACCTCTAGAGACGGCGGACCGGTCCCGCTCGTGCTCACACACTCACTCCTGTGACCTAAAGGGCCTTTTCTCACTGCTGGAGATGCTCTAGAGCTGCCACACACACACACCAGCAAAGCGCCTCCTTCCTGTTTGTCACTATGAACAAGCTTTGTGGTAAACTTTCCATGACATCTCAATATTGAAGGCCACTAGCACGTTTCATTCATCTCAAACCGCTTCTTTTAGAAACGTCTTGTGACGTGGTGATTGTTTTATGACAGAGGAAGAGCAAGAATATAGATTTTTTTTTCCGAGATGAAGATTTGAGCATTTAAGCGTTGCTTGCTCACTTTGACCAGGCTGATTGTAATGATGAGTCACATTAAGCTAAAGCTGCATTAGTCACTCAAAATACACTGTAAAATATACAAATGTACTCAGTTTGCAGTTTAAGCTGTGCAGAAGACACACTAGTTACATTTTGTGTGTTGATCTGTGAGGTCAGCTGATGTTTAGTGCAGAAAACAGTGAGAAGGGACGTTGGTTGATGTTGTAGTGTATCACGGATAGCAGAGTGGAGTTAATAATGGAAACTGATGAAAGATTGCTAGGTTAGTTTCCATATCAAGAGGAGAACCACAGCATCCTTCCTGTGTGTTTGAGACATGAATGAGTTTCAATCCCGCTGTCTCCGTTGCAAAAATGAGGCAAATTCTGTACATAATAAATTGTGAGAAAAAGATTAATTCTGGCTCATTCTTCTATACACACACCCATGGACAGGTTTTGGGGTCGGGAAGTCTTCCCGCTCACCAAGGCTGCGTTTATTTGATCAAAAATACAGGAAAAAAACAGTAATTTTGTGAAATTTAAAATAACCGTTTTCTATTGTCATATATATTTTAAAATGTAATTTATTCCTGTGATCAAAGCTGAATTTTCAGCATCATTACTCCAGTCTTCGGTGTCACATGATCCTTCAGAAATCACTCTGATTTGATGCTCAAGAAACATTTCTGATTATTACCAGTGTTGAAAACCGTTGTGCTGCTTTAAATTTTATATGGATTTATTTTTCAGGGTTCTTTGATTAATAGAAAGGTCAAAATAACACTTTACTTGTAGCATAATAAATGTATTTACTCTCACTTCTGATCAATTTAATGTTTCTTTGCTGAACAAAAGTACCAATTTCTTTCAAAAAGCAAAACAAAAATCTATTTCCAATTAAAATACGAATACACATCTTTGCATTTACAATGGATAATGTCAGTCAGTCATGATCACATGACATGAAGCACATCACAATGCACTGCAGTTCTCCAAATAATTCAATAAATGGTCATGAAACATTGACTCGAGTTGAAATTATTTTATTACGCAAGGTTATTTATTACACATAAATATCCGACTGACCAATCAAAATCAAGTATTTCAGAAAGTGTGCAATGACAAAGCAAAAAAATAACACACATGATGGACTTTTATTCCCGTTGTGGGTCAAAAGTCACAGTATACATTCACTATGCCGTGACATCATCACTGCAGATCTCAGTGCTCGAACATTAATACAATATTGTTCATTTTTACAAAGTTTACTTTAACCAAGTAACTAAATCAAATAAAAAATGCACAAAATCCCATCATATTTCTTTGACAAAATAATCTCTTCAGGCTATGTACTTCCTCAAAGTGCTCAGTGGGGTAAAACGATTAAACCAAACACAATTAAACCTAAATTTGAGGCCAAACACCAACGCTTCCTGTGGGCTAGTTTTGCTCTTGTACGTCCTGTATGTTTTTGAGCGAACATCGAGCACATCTGAGCCATATATATGGTAAAGGCAGCTATAGACTCACTGGACAGATACAAGAAGCAGGTCATTCTTTTTTTTATAAACCTCTAAAACAAAACTTTAAAAATGACCTAAAACTCAACAACCACCGATTAGCTGTTCGCTCATGCTTGTGTGTTTGATAGACAGAGCTCTGCAACTCCAAGCCTTGAATTGAGCTCTACATCTTTTATTTAAAACTGGTAAACCAACTCAAAAATTGAATTTGAAAAACATGTCAAGTTTTAAAGCCTGAGCCATAGAATAGACTGCATTTCTCTGTTGTGAAAGTGTAATTGTTCGCAGCTTGTGGTTTGGTCAGCAGCCGTCTGCAGGTAAAGCGAGACTGAAAGCAAGATTAAAACAAAGCAACGCCCACACATTTTTTCCGATGAAGTGGTCCTTCAAAGAAATTCACTGTCTAAGTTTAGCAAGGCAGTCTTATTTTACTCTCAGAAAGCTGAGTAAAAGTGGCATGCTTGTAATGTATATGCCATGACGACCAGACGTATTGTGTTCGCTGATGAGAGTTCACATGCCGAAAATACCTAAACAGCAGATTCAGCAAACACGCAAGACAAGAGATCAACAGCACGAGCTTCAGAATCAAACACTACACACTTTACTGGAACACAGGAAATAACTTGCATTAAAAAATCAACTAAATTAACCTTTATAAATAAAACCTTCACAAATAAAACCTTCACGTAAAACGTTTCTGTTTGGGGAGTGCAAAAGAGTATAAAAATATTTTATAATGTACAGATATCAGACGTGATTGTCAGACTGGCGTCTCAGCAGCTCGGCTCATCCATGTCGTCGTCACTCCAGTCTGGGGGAGCATCCGTGCCAAAATAACGATCCCCAAAATTTCCTGGACACACAAAAAAATAAATTCCAATATTTTACATGCATGTTTGAGTGGTACTCGCATTTGACAAATTAACGCCTAAATCAATATCGAAGAAATTGCATAAGAAAAATTAAGCCGAGGTTTTTTCAAGCACGTTTTACCCAAATATTTCATTACCGAAATTCAATAACTGACATAAACTAGCAATGAGCTAAATATTTGACAGCATTTAATAACCTTAAATGTTACCTAATAAAAATGTTCATGTTGGATCACACTGCATTGACTTAATGTAAATAAATACAACTTTTGATTTTAATGATGTATTAGTAAATGTTGAAATGAACTTTAACTAAGGTTAATAAATGTATTTATCTAATGTTAACTAATAAAACCTTATTGTAAAGTGTTACCGATTCTCTTTACTGTCATTTTTTTTTTTTACTCGATTTTGTGTTTAAAACAGAATCAATTAAAAACAGTACAACAAATACTATTTTGATACATTTAATTGAAATATCAAATATAATACATACATGTATGTGTGTGTGTGTGTGTGTGTGTGTAAAGTTAAACAGCATTTATTTGCAATAGAAATCTTTTGTAACATTATAAATGTCTTTCCTGGCACTTTTTATAAATTTAATGCATCCTAGCTAAATAAAAAAATATGACTTTCTTTTTTGAAAAAAAATAAAAATAAAATAAAAATATATATATAATAATATATGAGTCATGAAAAACTCATTTAAAAAGTCATTAAAAAAATGTCACATTGCTAAAAACCTTAAAAAAAAGAAGTCTTTAAGCAAAGTATAGTTTGTATCTTCTTATGATTTAGGGTGAAATATGGCTGGTTTTGTGGGATCGGCCTGTTTGTGTAAACGTAACTTGAAGGCGTAAAGGAGGAAAGGCCACAGTCAAGCAGATAAAGCAATGGCTCACCTATGCCAGGGATGATGTGGAAGAGGTCGTTGACCTTCTTGTCGACGGCGGTGGTGATGATCTTGACCTGAGGGAAGGCGTACGCCACAGAATGCACACCCATCTCAGCCATCAGCAGAGACACCAGCAGGATCTTCTCCTCCTGGACGTCATGATCCTGCACACACACACACTGCGTGAAGCATTTTACACACAACAACAGTGCCTTAGCAGGACAAAGGAGTCGGACTTTTATTTCCAAAAAAACATCATAATAGGGGTGGGCGATATGAGAATATATTCACGATATGAGAAATTTTATTTCACTATAACAATATATATTATGATATATATATATTTGGGGTTATTTTATCTCATTTTTGTTATTAAAAGAAGAAAAAAATTACAAACAATAGGTCAAAAAACAATTTAACAAAAATTCAGTTTTTCAGGTGCAATAGGTTTATTTAACATGTAGTTAGAATTAGTACAGAAATGTAATAATCAAATGTAAAATTAAAATATCATAATTGCACTGTATGAATTAAATATAAAATTCTTTAAAAAAAAATAAGATTCTTATTAAAGCAAAAAAAAAAGTTGTTCAGTCAAGAGCGGTAAGTTATTTTCTCTTTTGTTTGATTCACATTAATGACACAGAGCAGCGGGTTTATTAGGCTGCTGTCACTTTAAGACCAAATGCACGGATCCATTATACGATACACTTGAGACATAACCGGCTGTGTTTACATGAATACTCCACACGGTGGGAATCTTGACATGATTATGTGTGTATTCGACCATTCAAGCGCAACAAGACGTGAAAGAGAACTGAATTTATGATCGCATGCAGTGTCTCCATGGCTTTCTGTGCAACACATTGGGCTCTGTGTCACTGCTTATTGTGCTTAACACTTTTATCGAGCACGTCCCAAGTTCGCGATCCCCTTTTGGCAGTGTGCCAGTCAGCACGAGCACCACACAGAGATTTTTTCAGGATATATTGCGCTTATAACTCTTTTTAACATCAAGCACGTCCCGATCTTTATATTCTCATTCATGCATTTTATCATTCTTAAGTGTCAATAGTGCTACATATTTACATACTGCAATATATAGCAAAATCTCTAACGATGGACATTATATACCGTGGTAACGATATATATCATCATACCGCCCAGCCCTAATACATCATTACAGATGCGGAGGGCTTTTTAGATCACGCATCTCTTGTGATGAATGCATACACAGTGTTAGTAGATAAATGATATAAGCTGGTGAGTGCATGAGAAGTGTGTTTTAAGTTTCTTCCGGGCCAAAAGCAGCCACGAATACAGCAGCTCAGCCTCGGATCAACTGTTGAATTAATATGTGAGATTGTGTGAAGTTATGTCATGCTCTACGGCCGCTGTCAGATAAGTGAGGTTTCACTGCTACGCCTACACTCACAGACAAACGAACGAACTGGGCCGCTCTACATGTGGTGCTTGAGTAGGCGTGTGTGCCTGTGCCATTGCACACCATCACTTCCATTACACGGCTAGAGCTGCTGCAGCTGTGTGTGTGTGTGTGTGAGAGAGAGAAAGAGCTCAGATACACTCTTACAAGCAACACTCTGATGGCCATCATGGCTGCCGCCCCAGTGGACACAGTGCAGTCCATCAGGATCACATGATCTTCGCCGATGTCTTTGGGTAGACGCAAGTAGTGCAGCTGGATGAAAACATTAAAGACAACTTAAACAACGCCACTATGTTTCAAATAGTTAATCAATTTAATATATACACACACACACATATGCATTATATGTGTATGTGTATGATGCATATATAAATATATATTTTTTTATTAAAACAAAACAGGGTTGTCAAAATTAACAAGTGATTACATGAGATTATTTAAATGTTCAAACACCTTTTTAAAATTATATTTTTTATTTAAGACATGATGCAAAACGAAGGACGATATAATGTTACAACTATGTTACAAATTTTACAACTATAATTACATAATTACAAATATTACAATTATAATTACAGCTATTGTAACAATGTTAAAAAAAGAGAAAATTTTCATTTTCCTTAAAGCAAAGAAAGAATACATTTTTTTCTTATGATTTGGCGTGAAATATGACCCAGATATGCAGCAGCACTGCCTTTAAACGAATGAATGTTTCCCATGTACATACTATGTACTTATTATAGTATAGTAATTACAATAACTGGGTTATAACTAGGTACTACCTAACCCTAACCCATGTAGTTACCTTATATTTCCCCATACACTAATTACAAGTACTGTAAAATAAAGTGTAACCAAATAAAGTGCTACTTCAGTTCTGTCAGGAAGTGGGAATATATAACAAGAGTGGTACTAAAAAATAATAATAATTGCATCACAGCATCATATAGTTGCTTCTGCAGACCTCTGTTCACTGCGTTTATATGTACACACACGTTTATTTGTACACACATATTCCACAATTAACCAATAATTTCACATTTGTTTTCTTCCCTCAAACTGAATATATTAACTACGAAACAATTTAGATAAAGCACGATTTAAATTAGTAAAATTAACTGATTGAGACAAAAAAAAAATAAAGTTGGGTTGCACCAATAAGGGTTAAACTTAAACCTAGATTAAATCAAGGTTTACCTAATACAATAATTCTGTTGCACCAAACTTTAAACCTTGTTTTAAAAATAAGCAATCAACTTGATCCATAACTTTAAACTCGGATTTAAATCTCAATTACCGGTAGGAATAACTTCAAACTCATAGGTGAGAAGATTTATATAAAATAAAGTGCACCTACAATTAAAATATGTGGCTGATTGTACAAAGACAGAAAGAGTGGGTATGCCGTCAGGTCTCAGAGAGATTATTACAAATAAAAATGAAAATTAAAGCGCAGTGTGAGGAACGCGTCGGCCCGTACGCTTACGCCTGCTATGCGGATCCGTCACTCATCTTGGTGCCGGACAAAGAAAAGAAGAGAGGAATATATTTAGGATGTAACGGCAGGGGTGATGATGAGGCAAGCGCTAGTGGTGGTATCTCATGCCTGGGCGGCGATCAAACGGACAGGATGGCGCTGTCAAGAGTGGAGAAAGTCACTCTGCGAATCATGCTAGGTTTGTTTCTTCTCATCTCAGTTGCTTTGTTATTCTTTATGCTGCCATATTACTCCATTAATTGATACTGTAAAAATATTTCCAGGCTAATGAAATCCGCACGTGCTGCCGCAATGTTTTCATATACGATCGGTCACGGCCGTTTATAACGACATTTTACAAGTTTATTTCCTGTATCGGTAAGAACTACTAATGTCAAAGAGAGGGAGTTTCTGGTGGTCAATAAACAAGGAAATGGAGTATTAATATTGATGCTGTGTAATGACAATGGCGAATCCATCATGGCAGTTATTTATCATCCATCAGGTTATAATTCTAATCCCTGATTTGTTCATCTGTGTTTAAAATTAAGTGCTGCAACAACTCGATTTAAAATAAAACCATCAACAAATCGTTGATTGGCTTTGAACTTTGCTTAATTTAGTCCTTATTGGTGCAACCCACCCTAAGAGTTAAACACATCGCACTTTAAGGCAGCAAAATAGAGACCGACATGATAAAACACCTTTAAATTGTACTGACACAAAATACTGTATCACGAAAATAAGAGACATTTAGGGCTCACAAAATGTGTAGCTCTTTTTACGGATGATGAAATTGAACAAAACTCCTTTAAAATGAAAATAAATTACTACTGAATCTACTTTCTGCTCACTTGATCTGATTTGTGTAAATGCTGGAGGTAGTAACAGCAGAAAGGGGCGGTACCTCAGGCTCTCCTGTGTCCTGATTGGTCTGGATGAGGATTTTGCCGATGCGGACGTCTTTGCACACGGCTCTGAGCGCGGGCTCCATGGTCTCTCCCGCCCTGAGAATCGACACGCCCGTAATCTGCTCAAAATACAAAAAAGGGTGTGATTTCCTTTTAAGGCCTAAACATTTCTATACAACAGAGAACGACACAGAGAAAACCCCAGAACAAACACATGCACTAGGCCGCACTGCCAAGAGATCGCCCAAAAAAAGACATGTCAATGCATGTAGAGGCACATTGTCTTCTTACCCCCTTCCCGTGGAAGGTTCTGCCCTCGTAATCCTCTCCTTGTGGGGTCTGAACAATGTGGACCTGCAGCAGATAACAGGCAAACTGTAACCTCAAGTGCTTTCTGTCCAAGCATATCAAATGTAGCTAAACTGATCTTCCTCTCTGATTAGAAGCCACAGTAAAATGTCAGCAGCATGATGAAGCTCACTAGTTGACTGCAGTTCTCCTGTGAGCGTTTTAAGTGTAAAGGTCGCTGTGTCGCTGCTGCTCCTGCTTGTTGATAAGACGATTTCTCTCATGTTGTGTGTGTTAGTCTGAATTTCCACTGCGGTGGACAAGTAAGCCAAGTTTCCACGTTCAAGACGAGGCCTCCATGCCCACACACTCAAATCCGTTCGTGTGCCATCATTAGGTTGATCTAAAAAATTCCCCAGAAATCCCTCCTCCTCTGTGTCTCTTTTCTCACCTGAGATGGAAGGAAGGACAGCGCTCTCTCGATGAGGAGCCGCATCAACCTCTTGGAGTAGAAGATGAACTCGTCTCGACTGGTCTCTTTATTTCTGATGACAAAACCACTTATAATCAGATTCAAAAAGTACATTTTAAAGTGTGTTTGAGTTGTTAAAATGGGAGACATCCTATTTATTTATAATTATTACGTCACAGTTTTACTGGATATCATGGTCTAACATGGTTAAACGGGGCATTTGAAACATAAAATGGATGGAAAAATCGCAATTTTCCTAACTGTCATAGACGGGACATATTGTAGGCCCTGCCGCTTTTTAAATATGCAATAGCCGTTAGTCATAGCCTGGGATAACCACACACAGTTTGACACAAGCAATGAAGACACTTTCTAAATGAAAGTTCAAAACATTTCAGCCCCTGGCTTCTGCTACTTGATGTTGGTAGTTGGCTGATGGGAGTATGAGGAGGGACATTTGCCACAAGTATGGGGCACAGGTGTAATAAACAGGGTATATGCAGGAATCTTGAAGTTAATTTTAATACCTTTTCAAGACTTTTTCAAGACCCTCTCAATATTTTTTAATACCGCACCGCCACTTCAAGCTGTAACCATTTACATCAGTGATACTTTTAACTTAACAGTTTTAGTTTGTGATAGACTATAGACCACTCTGATAGAAAAAAAAAAAAAAAATCAAATAGGCTGGGATAGTAAATCAAAGCAAAGTTTTTTTTTTAATAAAAATGACTAAATTCACACACTTTTACGATGTTTTTGGGACTCAAACTGTTGGACAGCTAATTCAGAAAAAATACTTTCAAAATGTAAGACTTTATAAAGCAGTGATAAGACTTTTTAATACTTTTTAAGGGTCTTAATTTTCCCAAAATTGATTTATCACCTTTTAATACTTTTCAAGACCCCGCGGATACCCTGAATAAAATACAGAAAACTAAACTAAAAAATAAAATAAAACAAACTACAAAACTAAAACTGATAAAAAAAACATAAAAAAAACCCACCTTCAACAAAAAAACCTAAACAAACTACAAAACACACACAAAAAAACCTACACAACAAAAATAATAATAATAATCACATACAAAAAAAACTCAAAATTAAAAATAGAAACAAACTACAAAAAAAAAACTAAACAAAAAAAACTACAAGACAAAAAAATAAACAAAAAACAACAAAAACTGCCAAACAAAAAGACCTACAATCGACTACAGCAGACGCGGTGACGTTTCCTTCTGCTGTCGTTCACATTTGAAAAATTGAACATTTTCCCATTTCAGCCTGTGTCATGTTCATAATCCGCCATATTGTTGGGGATATCTTTTGTACAACACACACTTTAGTACTGTGTTGTGTCATCACATGAATATCTAATGTAAAACCTGGGTTTAGAAGCAAAACCTCAAATAAATATGAACTAAATGCATTAAATAGTTTGTTAATTATGTTACTACTAGACACTGGCACATAAGAGATGCTGTACAGTTATTCGGGAAGTTTGGGCCAGTTTTACACAATGGACTTTCCACGCGTCACAGCAAAGGCGTGTGTGTGTGTCTGACCTGATGATGGTGTGCATGCCGCGGACCTGCGGTGTGTTCTCCAGGACACTGAGAGTCTGAGGAAGAGGCTGCGCCTGATGGGCCGACGCTAGTGCCGCCCTGTTACCATCACACACACACACACACACACACACACAGACAGGAAGATGTCAGCACAGTGGCGTGAACAGCAGTGTGTGTTCATTCAAACGCAGACACATGCTCACACACCAGTTACTAGTTTCACCCAAACGCCGATCATTCAAACAATACATTCATGTTAGAGGAGAGCACCAAGCCAGGAATTATAAGCATAAAGCATTTTTATATAACAGAGAAAACCAAAGGACAACCTCCAAATGAAAAAGCTGACCCATTTATGAGTTAGTGTTTCTGTCATAAATAAAGACAGCTATATGGTGGCTCCAAAACGTACACTGACACTTTTGGTCTTCATTCTGAACAATGCATCCGTCTAACTTTTTTAAAAGTCTCTTTTTGTGAAAGGATTTGTTCGTAAAGTGTCCCTGTGCTGTCGTTTCTGGTTTGATACACTATCGCTCAAACGTTTGAGGTCGGTAAGAATTTTCTTTTTTCTTTTTGAAAGAAATGAACACTTGTATGCTCTATACTTCTTTCAAAAACATAAAACATTCAAACCGACCCCAAACATTCATACATGTGGATTAAGTGTTCAAATACTTTTTGAAGCCACTGTACACTCTTACATTAAGGATTCGTTAATCACGCGTGTTAGAAAGCTTTATGAGCTCTGGGTAGGTCAGTCTCTATTGGGAGCATCCTATGATTTCACAAGCAGTCGTGTCAAAGACTGCATCCTGTCAACAAATCACGCAGAACATTCATGTAATGGTTTTACATGTAATTCACTGCTTCGTTAATACATATGCAGACAATATGCAGTCTTTGAAAATCACACCAAGATCCCTTTTTTATTCTACTTTTGGTTTGTAAATCCAACAGCAAAAACTAATAAAAACAAAAAACAAAACTAAAATCATAAGCAAATCTCCTCACATATCCCAGCGGAGCTTTCTCTGTGGGGGAAGTGACAAACAACAGAAAAACAGACAATGACAACAGGAAGAGAGGGAAAAGAAAAGAGACGTCACACACACTATCAGGTGAAGGAGGATGAGGTGGTCACATGACTCCGAGTGGCACAAGAGCGTGACAGCTGCCATCAGCCCTTCTGTGGGTAAACCAGCTTCTAGCGGCATCAACACACATTTTATGTAATAAAAGTCTTTTGAAGCCTTTTTGTGGCCAACTGATGGAAATCTTAGTCTCTCACGAATGTTCAAATACGACGGGTTTGACGTCAATGGCGATCAGTAACGGAACCAATGAATTCTGATGTCATTGACCTTGTCTTAAAGGGACAGTTCACCCAAAAATAGTGTTAATAGCACTAGTGGTAAACAAATAGAGCAAGATGAATCGCACTTTGATAATTGTGGTTTTCATGTGCACTTAAAAAAATAGGAAGCGAAAGAGGAGTATATGACTGAGGTCATGGCTAGAGAAAAGAGGCCAACTTGGCATGGCGATTTTGCAAATGGATCTCGAGGAAAGTAGTTTTAAGCTTTAGCGCCATGTCGCGTTGATCAATGTGCCATTTCATGTTGCATTTTTATTGGTTAGTCAGTAAACGTAGGTGATAGCAGCAAACACACTGTGAGATGATCTTGCTAACCTTCTGCCACTGTCAGAAAATGATCGCAGGATATCTTTGACATGACAACGGCCGTCTCTGAACCTCTCTCGCTGTACGACGTAGGAACACCGTTTAGGAGCCACAACCACAGAAATCACCACGATTAGTCATCTTTCGTCTTACATTTCATCTTCACTTTATTCTACTTTCTCCTGTAAACACAAACTCATACGGATGGTTTATTTTACCTCATCTAGTGTACGGATTCATTATAGGCTAGTTACCATGTACTGTATATTAACACACTCTACATTATGAAAACTGGTAAAACAAGAAACGTCTCTCGAAAATGTTTAACTTCTAAAATATTATTAAAACAGAATTCCTAATAGTAATTCTTACATGTTTTTTTCTATTAAAACGACTGCAAAAAATACTGTTTTGTTAGGTCCATTAGGTCAATTTATTCCACAACCACAATTGCAGACAATATAGTGGAGATTCATGTTTAGATTTATTACAGTGCATCACTACAGCAGTCAGTACCATTTTGTCTCTTTTTTTCCAACAAAAACAAAGAAAGATTTTGGTAAAGTTTTATTAAATTTTTTTTACCACATTTTAGTCTCATCTTTTTTTTTTTTGCATGTTGATATAGTCACAGTTATAGTTTAATGACCTCGTCATCGTCTCGTATTAAAAAAAAGGTTGTCGATGAACATTTTTTGTCATAGATTTCGTTTATGAAATTAACCCCAAAATGAAAACTGCATTTGAACAAGCAAGCACAGTTTTAACTGCCATTTACCATATTTTGTGCGCTCTATTTACTACACACAGGTCAGTTTATTAGACAAATGAAGCTTGTGAGGTAACGCAGCGCTGCTTCACTTGGTTTAGCGTTACACTATCACACTAAACTGCATTTGAGTGTGTTGAAAGTTATAATGTTATTCTATGTGTTAGTTTGTTGACTGTGGACTAGCAGTAAGCTAGATCAACATTAGAATAACATACTGACCATATTCTAACATTTCATCATGTCGAGCTATATAACATTGATTAGTTTTATGTACATTTGCACACCTGTCTAATAAAGCACATGCAAGAGCGGCGTCTCGTCAAGTCGAAGTTTGTCACGGACGTGAAGCTCTCGGCATCTCGAAAACGCCACGCTGATATTGATCATAGTTTTAGTTTTCCTTTTGTCCCAAAGTCTGCTTGCCATGATCCATAATGTTTGAACGAAACAACAACAGCGTGAGCGGAAACCAGGGATGACGCGGACATTACGTCATTGACAGGTGACAATGAACAGTAAGTACACAACTGCAGGACATGTATCACACTGTGCAAGTGATTTTTGGATATTTTAATAAAAAAATCTTACATATTGTAGCTTTAAATCTATTCATCATATAAAGCACTTGTGTCTCTTCAGAATACTTCGATTACACCACTCAGTTCATATGGACTATTTTCATTTTTTAAAAGTGTGAAAATTTTGGTTTTGTGGACATTCAACGGATGGACAAAAAATGATGAGAGAATATTAAACATATCTTCATTTGCGTCACAAAGACACAAGTCTGTGTTAGTATCGACGCGAGGGTGAGTAAACGATGACAGAAGCTTCATTAGTGGTTGAACTGTCCCATTTACACACCACATTTAAACATACGCAAACACAAGTGATATTTGAGAAGTCGTTTGTGTGAGCTCTTAAACTGGTGTAGTGATGTGACGTGACGGGATCTGCATTAGAGAGATTAAACAGATATTGCAGATTCCTTCCTCTCTCTCACTTTCAATGACGATATAATTATGATAGTGTAATGCATCACGGCGTATAGAATTGTGGCATGAGAAATCGTGATAGAGTTTAGAGTGAATAAAATGGTTTTTTTTTTTGGTTTGCGTGAACCTCTTCTTTGAGCTGTGAAAGTGCTGACAGTGCCATGCAAATGCATCTTTCTGTTTTTGATCTTTTTTGAGAAAAATGTCAGTTTTGCTGTGGGTCCTGTTGTAGCTGTCATCCTCTCATTCACTCTCACTGACACAAAGGTCTGCTACATCCTGTGTCGGGGGCTGTACTTCCTCATGTTCCTCTCTCTCTCTCTTCCTCTACTCTGTCTCTCTCTCTCTCTCACACACACTCATCTGCTGTTGTTTCTAGCCCAACGGAAAAATTAAACTCTTTGTAGTAGACATAGGAAACTTTACTGCGTGCGAGACGCCGTGTTCAACAATAGCTACAGAGAACAGAGAGAGAGTGAGAGAGAGAGAGGGGGGAAAGAAAGAAAGCATGAGAAAGTAAGAGAAAGAGAGGTCAAGGGGAGGAAGACAGCCACATATTTTTAGACACAGCATGCAAGGAGTGTGTCTGCTGTAAAGCACTCAAGGATGAAAAAAACCGAAGGTATCTGCCTCCCTCCTGACTGCAGCACAAAGCATCTATCCTCCCATCTTATATCATATCATGAGGCATCCATCCCATGATGCTTTACTGCCGCTCATTACCAGACTGATCAGTGCTGGTTCCTCAAACATCATAGCTGGGAATATATGAGTGTGGGTCAGTATCTGTTAATAAAGCTGAGCCCTGTTATTACTATTACTTTGATACAAAAATAACATTTATTTGTGTAAATCTCATAAAACCGGTCATGAACACTACTGGCTCATATTTCACCCCCAAATGAAAATGTACAAATTAAATATAAAAATGTAAATATAAAAATTATACTCAACTAAAATATTACATTCTAAACTAAATCAGTGTTGTTGCTAAAATAAAAAAATACTTTCAGTAATTGAAAAAGTGTAAATAAAATATATATGTTGCATGAAAAACACAAGCTAAAATAAATAAATAAAAGGTTGCCTTGGCAGATGAATAAATCTACGTACTAAAATTATTAAAAATAAAAAATAAAATACAAATAATTAAATATTTGTTATTTTTTTATAGTTGAATATTAAATAATAAATATGAACCAAGTACAAAAATTACTAAATCTAACATTTAAAAAAAAAAAGAATGAAATAAAATACAAATTATATTAAGTATAAAAATAAATATTTTACTTAAATGTAATTTGTATTTTATTTCATTCTTTTTTTTTCAATTTAAATATCAAACATGTACCAAACTAAAGTTTTTTTTTTTTTTTACTAAACTCAAAACTAATTAAAAGCAAGAAAAAGTTCCCATCAAAATTGCTCAAATTTAACTAAAAATATAAATATAAATTTTTTTTTTTTAAATTATTAAATACTATACTAGTATATAAATAATATTAACTAATTCAATTGAAATTAAAAATAATATAATTTGGGGATTTTAGGGTGAAATATCACAGATGTGTTTTCATGATATTTAAAATGATTTGATTTATTATTTGAAACCTGACCCACACCACTGCCCATAATGGCCAATTTGACAATTAGTAGTCAGCTTAAAGAGACACTGCCCTCTTTTGGTCCCTACAGGAAGTGCAGCAGAGCTCAGGAGGAGGACGATCCCATCGTGCTGGGAGGGGGACAGTTATAAGAGGCTGTATAAGTGTCCCCCGTGGACTGATCTAAGGCCAGTGTGTTTCTGCATTAGTAATACTCTGAATATCATTATCATTTGTGAATTTGATTGACAGGTCTAAGCCCAGATCAGTGCTGAGGGGAAACTTCAGTGCAGGAAGTGAGAAGACGATGAGCAGTGCTACTCTACCTGACGCTGAGTTCACGCTGTGCCACCGCAGGGGGGGATGGGGGAGAGGGGGGGCAGAAATGGAGAGAATAATCCAGTGCGGTGAGGAAGCAAGGCCAAACAAAACGTGTCACACCAGTATTACAGAAAATGAACAGGCCCACAGAGATTCTGTGACTTTGTTTTGCTGATTTTTAGGAGGAAATCTGTGGGATTCTATGGAGTAGATTCAGGGAGCTGAGTATATTACATTCCTATTGATAGGTGAAAGAATAATCAAATTGATCAAACATATTCAACAAACAAACAGGCAAAGGCCAGGAAATGTCTAGAAGTTTATGAAGGGGCGACTGTTCGGATTTTTGTGGAAAATACAGATCCCTCTAGGCCTGAAAATGAGGAACATAATTTCAGTCAGTGATGCAAACCACATGACATGTCAAATATTAGTCCACTACAAAGCATTCCCAAATCCAAAACGCACAAGCGTTAACTAAACTGCTTCTCATGAGGAAGCGCGCACAGAGTATCTCTCTAATATATCACAGAAAAAAACATTTAGGAGGAGACGATGAAGACAGGCTGTTTATTCCTGAATTATGGACCTTATTCAGAACAGCGCCATGACAGGCATGAAGACGAGGCTGTGAGGGATAAACTTACCATGTTTTCAATGTAAAATGCTGTATAAAGCTCCAGAGATCACTTATTTTATACAGCTCATGTTGTCTGGAGTTTTTTGCCTACTGAATTTTCTTGGAAAGATATTTATTTTGCAGTGTTTCTTCAGCAGAACAATCATAAACACATGAAATAACAGTGCAACCCACTGAAGAGATGCATGTCTATCCCTCACAGCCTCGCTTTCATTCATTCCCGTTAAAAATCAAAGACGGCGCTGCTGTGAATAAGGTCTATACAGGATATATTTGTGAATATCTCACAAAGATTAAGAAATTAAGTTTAGATTTTTGAAATTTATTGCAATATTGGGGGAATAACTTAAAATTAGAGATGCACCTATGGTATCGGCGGATAAAAGCAATTATGTTCACTATTGGCTATCGGCCGATGATCAGGGCAGATTATATCCTGTCAGTCAAAAGGGTGCAGAAAAACGCGTCAGACTGCAACTCATACAGTGTGAAGAAAATGTCTCTCGTGTTGAAAAGGGGGTCTGAAAATTTTGTGGAAAATATATTTTTTGGAAGCACTGCTCTACAGTTAGTTTATGAGTCAATTATATCATCCACAAGGGGGCGGTATTACACCTGAAAATCATGACCATGATGAAATGGTGCATCAGATTGGGACCATCATCTACCCAGTATCTTCGATTGCTTTTAAATGCTAAATATGAACATTTTCAATATGTGTGCTGTGCTTACCTCCTCCAGCTGACTGTGCACATGCTGCACTATGAGATCAATGGCCACCATGTTGCCGCCACCTACAGGAGATAAGCACAGGAATCAAAATCAACATCACTAACACAGCTGCTTTAATGCAAGCCTTCAAGGTCATCAAAAAAAGCATAAGCATTTTTCATGGATGTACGTGATCCAAGTCGGCCGTTACGCTTTCTCCAATGGTAGAAATTAATACCATAATGCAGTGTACACTGCATTTGTATACTAAATAACTAACTAAATAAGTATTTTTTTAATAACACACTACGGTATATACTATATTAGATTGTTTTAGAGTAATGGCTCATTCTGAATGCCTCACTCACCACGTGGCACCACAATATCTGCCAGTCTCATCGTGGGCTCGATGTATTGTTCAAAGGCTGGCTTCACAAACTTGTTGTACTGCTTGATGACTCCCTCAATGTCGCGGCCTCGCTCTGTGATGTCCCTCCTGAGCCTCCGTACCAGCCGGATGTCAGAATCGGTGTCCACAAAGATCTTCATGTCCAGCAGCTGAGAAACAGACGGATGATGCTCCGGATCAGCTCAGTGAGAAGCTGGCAAATATCATTATGAAAGACAGTTGTTTACCTTCAGCAGCTCTTTATCTGCAAAAGACATGATGCCCTCAAATATAATCACACTGGCCCCATACACCGTTTTCTGCAAACAGATAAACACTCATTAAAAGTCAAGCAATAAAATATACTAGGTATTCTATGTATAATTATTTTATGTACTTGGGAAAAATAAATGGTGTTTAAGTGTGCTTCTAGTAGAGAAAAGGTAAACCACCAGCAACATTTAATATGGAGAACTTCAACTGTATTTTAAGCGCTTTTCGGCATATTACAAAAAAGTTGATTAATAATGCAGTTGGCCACTTTTTCACAAGGTATCTTGCTTGTAGTTAAGCCATTTTAAATCCATGAAGCAGTTTTCCCAAAAGTGATCATTTACATAAACCTGACACTTTTCAGGCAAATCAGTGTAGAAAAATGAGGGAGGTCAAAGCCGGGTGTTTCCACGCGATCACCTGTTGGCACTCACCCATTCTTTCTGCCGTCCGTGCGTGGTGAAGTCATACACTGGGATCTTCACACTCTTGCCCTGCTTGAGTTTGCGGAGTGTGTGCACCAGCAGGCTGAAATCAAAGGCGTCTGGATGGTCAAAGTTGTAATCGTTATTAGCGGCCAGCAGCTGCTGTTCGGCCGTCAGAACCTGCAGGAAACACGTCACAACAGACGCTCCAAGGTTACACCTCTGACTTCAGCTCACATATCTGCCAGCGGTGTGCTTCCAGACCAAGGCTGATAACCGAAAGGTAGCAGGTTCGAACCAGACAAGGGGTGATCTGTCCTTGAGCCAGCCATTGCACTTGCTGCATTTAGTAAATGCTACAACTTAAGTCATGAGTGTGCATTACAGTGCTTTTACCACAGGTTAGACATGACGCAAAGGGGTAAACTATGGTAAAATCGCTGTAACACACAACCATGAGAGGCTTAATACTCCAATATAATGACAGCAAAAAGCAATCTAATAAATATTCATTAAAAAAATAAAAAAAAGTTAAATATTGTTATCGAAAGTGACATTTAACGATTGCTTAGCATTAAGTAAAGACATTTATAAACAAGATATTTCCATTTCAAATAAATGCTGTATCAAAGAATCCTGGAATAATGCAACAACAAAAAATCTTGTGCATAAAATCATGATAGAATGATTTCTGAAGGGTCATGTGACACTGACGACTGGAGTAATGATGATATAAATTCAGCTTTGATCACAGGAATAAATTAAAAAAAATTAAATAAAATTTAAAAAGAAAAGCTTTTTTTAAATTGTAATTATATTTGATAATATTACAGTTTTTACTGTATTTTTGATTAAATAAATGCAACCTTGGTGAGCATAAAATACTTTTTAAAACATAGAAAAATTGTAGTGTAGTGCATTATATTACTAATAAAGCAGATGTACAGACTTAAAATAATAGAAATAATAGACACTGACTGCTCTCACACCTTTTGACTAATACATTTCCATGATTTTTCCCAGTCATTTTGGATTTTCAAAATAAGGATTTTTACATTTTCATAAATAATTTTGTAAAGAATGGCTAAAAATTGTGAAGGCAATAAAAAAGTTGCAACTTCCAGGACTTTTTAAAACACTACTAATTCCCAAAATTTTTAACTGCCTGATTTTTCCATGAACCCTGTATTTAATTATAATTAAATACATTAATCCTAGCATGAACTATCTGTATACGAGTTGCATTAAGTAGTATTCTCCAGACAAGAGAACATTCGCAAAACACCTCCATTCTTCCTGGAAGGATATATTCTCGTATTTGCCACCCAGCATGCAGAGACGGTGCCAGACTACGGAGTAAATGAAGTGCGTGGTATTATTACCCCCCTCCTCTCGATGGACACACGGCTAAGGCCAGCTGAACTAAATTTAGGAGGAACATTTACACACAGGTACACATACACACACACTCGCAGGACACTTACTTCCTTCGCTGTGTTATTTGGCCTTTTTCTCTCATACAAAATGTAATGATTTCTCTTCAGATTTGCGAGAACAGCTGGTAAACCATTTAAACGAATGCCTAACTAGTCTAGCATATCTGCTGTGATCCACCTGACAGGCTCATTCGCATTCCTGACTGTTTAACACAGCTTACTCAAACGTCATTAACACATAACGGCTTGTGTTTTAATGCTGGACTGCTTACGGCTGTAAAGATGGTTGAGTTTCTCGGCAGCACACCTGAGATGTTCCTCTGGCAGACGTGAGAGGATCTGAGAGGCGTTTACTCTGAGATTCCTCAGTGTGCCGTGAAGCCTGAAACACTTAATGGATTATATCAAACAAACCATTGGTTTTGGACCACATTCGGGTCAGTTTTTCATGTACTGTATGATAACTTCAGGTTTGCCATGGAAAATCGTAAGTGAGCAATTTTCAGCCATATTGCTAATCTCTGTAGTTTGGTTTGCTTCAAACATAAGCCCTCTCTCCTAAACCCTGCCCACAAAAGACATGTCAGCGAACACAAACACTCAAAATAAGTCACAGCCAGAGAGACAGCCGTTTCTTATTGTAAAAAAAAAAAAGAAAAAAGGCCACTCCCCAAAATGACTTATTGCTGTGTACAGAGCTTAGGGCTGTCACAGATATATGGGTGTGATTTCCCAGAAAACATGTCACTAATATCTGTAGTAGGTAGCATGAGCGTTTAACGTGCGAGAGATATACAATGAGATGACGGCGTTACCTTGTAGAAGGAATCCATTGAGAGAAGAACGACCCAAGGAACATCCAAAGCCTCGATAATTTTACGAGCAACTGTTGTTTTGCCTGAGGCGCTGCCTCCACAAAGCCCTATGGGTAAAAAAGACCAGTCATTTGACATGTGACGATGGTCGACGATGGTGTATGAGTTAACAATAGGGATTTTCACACTTGATCTAGTTAACCCTGGGTCATTAAACCTTGGGTATTGCAAGTTTAGCATTGCAATGCGGGGTTAACAGCGCAAAAGGGGTCCTAACCCCGGGTAAAATGCGGCACTAACCCGCTACTAAATTACAACTGTGAACGCTCCTTCACCCGGTGTTAAAAGCAGGGTTTAAAGCGCAACAACCCAGGGTTAAGCACAGCGTGAAAAGCCCTACTGATGTTTTTTTCCCTGGAACGCTTTACTATACCGACCAATAACAAAAGCTTCTTTGGACTGGGTCCCGTGCTCATTGTACCAGGGTGGGCGTCCGGCTGTGTAGATGGTCCTCTTACTGGTCCGCAGCAGCGGAGGCTCGGATTTGCACTGGCTGGTGGATCGTTTCCGTGGCGACAGGCCGGTGTTGACGGAGGGGAGGAGCCTGTCCAGAGAGCCTTCGCCACCGCCACTGTTGAAAAGAGGAAATAAGATACAGTGAACAAGAGAAGCCTCTTCCTGCCGTTTCCTGTGTGAATTCTGACTTCCTGATCACAAGCTGTACAAAGACCCCAGTTCACTCGGTGGCCATCACGGTTAACGCCCCTTTAACTATTTACTAGCTTTAACTATGTGGGTAACAGGGCATACAGCTCTATCTATTTCAATGAGGAAAATATCTCAAGATCTGATAACGGTGGTATCATAAAATTTGTGGCATGTTGCAACCTCTGGGAAAAACAACAACCCCATATTACTCAGCAAACGTGTTAGCTGTAAATGTAGCACATCATCGTGATCAATGAAACGGAGATAACTGGAATATCGTGTTGTCATGTCTAATGAATGTTATAACAGTTGAACTCAAACTAAGCAACTGACCTCATTTTGATCAACTAGTTTGAGTTCAAAACAAATCCTCAGAGCTGCCAACTCTCACGCATTGGCCGTGAGACACATTTGATTGGTTTCACACGCTCACACCCATCCTTTCTCACGCTGAAGTGTCAACCTGGTCGGTCAAATGCCTGAAAGATGATTTTATCTATAGATCAACCTGTTGAGCCACTAGTGATCGACTAGCTATGCCGCAAATTAGTTAAAATTTCCAGGGATCTAGAGCGAGCGCGCATGCGAGACAGAGACTGTGCTCCAAACCGCGTAGCGCGCGCACGGCAGAGAGGGAAAGCGAGCGTGAGATCTTGCATGTGCATAGAGCAGCCTAATCTAGAAACTGGAGTATATATTTACATGTACACACGTTCATTACTAATATAATTAGTAATACTACTAACAAGTATTGCTCTGTGATAAATTGCTTATGTTCCTGCATATGTTCTGCTTACATAAAAGCATCTAGTAAATGCATAAATGCAAATTATTAGGTATAAATACACTGTAAAATTACCATTTATATAAAGTGAGACTAAAAATGTCATTATGCATAAGCCAACTATGCTAATGGTGCATTTAGTTTGATGAAAACATGCTCTGGTTTTTTGAATGCTGGAAAGCATTGGTTTCTAAAAGCATTTCTGGAAAGACTGATGAGTCACGAATAAACAAAAGAGATACAAGGTAAAATTGATGGACGCCTACAAGAGACTCACTGCAGTGAGAGCTGTGCAGCTCATAAGCAGCAAAAAAAAAATCAATTTGAGAGAAAAATACTTACTGAAGCAGGCGAGAAAGCAAGATGTCCTTAAAAGATGAGTCCATGTACTTGTCCATTAAGTAAAAGAAACAAATGCTACCTAGTACCTACTCTCAACTAAACATCATGTTTGTATAAAAAAGCCAGTCAGATCAAGTTACGCACGACCGCGTAATCCCTAAACAGGCTTTCATACCTCGGAAAACAAAGTCTACTTCACATGTGCAACTATAACTGGTAAAACTAGAATAAAGCCCTGCTACAATATGAGGCCGTGTTAAGAGATAAGATGGCAAACAGTGGACTCTGCCCTGGCATTTTTTCAGAAACCGCAAACCAGTCTGTCAAAGTCTTTCTCTTAAAGGAAATGATAAAGTGACTAATCATTTACTATACGACTTTCTTCTATACAGTGAAGTATCTGTACAAAGAAAGTGAATGGTGGTGAAAAACTTTAATCTGTTTAGCACTAGCCATGTGGACTATTAAAGAGCCCATATTATTGTGGGCACTTCAAAAATACGGCGTGATCACAAAGAACTTAAAATACTCAATCATTTTTGAGTTATACATCATTCAAAACTATAAAGGGTCTAAACTATGTTTAGCTACTTACAACAGTTTTAGGATAGAAATGATAAATGACAGTAATGTCAAGCGATGCAAACTACTCTACTTGGTCAAATTTCACCATTTTGGATTGAAAACAGGCTAATGTACACGAGCCATGTAATTCATAACAGAGTGTGACGACAAGAACAACATTAACAAAGCTATTTTAGACAGAGTGTGTGTGTGTGCAAACTCGAATGTCTCAAACACGCAGCAATTGCAGAGTAGCATTTACTGTGAACTGAAACTGAAAACGAATGTTTCTTTACTCTCAAATATGCAGAGCGTCAGACTACATATTTACACAATCACATCACAACCGTTGGCATTTGATGATCGCACAAAGCCATATCTCATTCTAACAACCATGCATTGTCAATATTCATAAAAAAAAGTTATGGGGCAACGGGTGCCGATTTTACTCACATTTGGCACTTTGAAAGCAAACCTTGCATGAGATAAATGTATTCGAAAACATAGCATTTTGGAGTTTATTTAATAATTGTTTAAGGCCATTTCACGATTTCAATCATCACAGTTTTTTCTTGGATTGACAATTCACGTGGGTCATACTTTTCAGGTGGGAAAATACAGAAATACGTACAACTGCGGAAATTATAGCCTACATGCCTAAATTATACATTTAAAGTACAGAGATTTTAACTACATGTACTTACAATAGGGTTGGTTGCATGAAATTATGCATAATTTACTTTTATTACAGCAGTAAGTGCATTTTATATCAAAGACGCTCTAAAATAAAGTGTTACCAAATGTCATACCGTCACATGATGCCACAGAGTAGTGTGAGCACTATGTACTAATATTTAAATTAAAGACCCCTTGTGGTAAAGATCAAGCTTTTAATGTTGTTTATATGTCTATGTGGTGTTTTTAACCAAAGACAGTCTCAAAAACACGGTTTGAAATCGCTGGTGTTTCTGACGTCACAAACTACCTTGTAACCAATCACGCCTCGAGGGGGGCGGGCTTAGGCATATCATTAACTATGACCGCTCTGAAGCAGAGGAGTCTCAAGAGAAGACAGGTTATCCCCGTATATTTTTCTGTTGATATGGAAAATCGGCTACATTTAGCAATATAGCGGGTGAATTATGTATATGATGTATATTACGATGTTATGATGAACTATGTGCGTTTCTCCACTGACGTTCTGAATTGTTCATAGCGTTTCTAAGGATGCTGGTTGTTAGAAGGAAGATGCCTGACTCTGAGATGGAGAACGAGAACATGGTTTTTGTGACATTAGCAACACATCATTAGCTGTTTGATAACGTAGTCAAGACAAAGGCTAATCATATTAATCACTGAAGAGAGCGTCGAAGAGAGCGATTCATAAAACGCATCACCATTCTGATACATCGACTTGTAGACGAGCCTGTATAATTCACTCTTCCACGTCTTCTAAATCCGTTTCTGGTTCTATCATATATGGCTGAATTAAATCAGTATTTCCACCTGCAATTGTGCAGCAAGGCATATGGTTCCACGTATACTAAATGAGGCAAGGGTGTTACATTCAAGCTATTTTGGCATGCATAAATTAATTATTTCCACAGGAAAAATCGTTTATGTCATTTTGGTGATCAAAGATGAGATTTAAAGTAGTGGTATAATGCCCTTTTCACAAGATGTAAAATAAATCTCTGATGTCCCCAGAGTGTGTATGTGAAGTTTTAGCTCAAAATACCACACAGATATTTTTATATAGCATGTTAAATTTGTCACTTTTTGAGGGTGAGCAAAAACGCACCGTTTTTGTGTCTGTCCCTTAAAAATGCAAATGAGCTGCTGCTCCCGCCACAGGGGGCGGAGCTTCAAGAGCAACAACATGTAGAATACAACAGGACATTTATGAATGGTTAGTTGATGAATTTATGTATCTTATGTGTAGTTATCTTCTAGTCATTGATTAGCATATTCTGTCTTGATAATCTATAAACCGCGTTCCCGGGGGCGGGGTTTATGTAAATATTGGGATTAGTGATGTCACTAGTCCCTACCGTTGTAGTCCTTAAAAAGACATTTCTTTAAAAGCAGATATCTCCCTTTGCTTTGAACTTAAAGCTTCGTAACTTTGCAGATGTTGTTTATGGTCAAACAGTAACATTACACACTAACTAAAGTTAGAAAAGTGAAATCATAATCAAATATAAAATAAATGATTGACTACAGGGGAGCTTTAATCATTTGATACAATGCACTTATTGTGTACATACAAATTTTTACATTACACTTAGGCTATATATTTTTTTTAATCAGGTTTATTTTAAGGTAAAGTAAGGTCAACTTTATTATCCCCAAGGGGCAATTTGTTTCACAGCCAGCAGTAAACCATACAATCATACAAAGAATAAACACCACAACACACACACAAAAAAAGAAAAGAAAAGAAAAAAAAGGACTTCAATAAATAATTTACCTTGAATAATTAAAAAAAAAACAATGGCAGCTGGTACAAAAGAATTTTTAAATATTAGTCCCATCTACATTTGCCAGTACCAGGTGATGTAGTTACATGTTACGACATGTACTTACTATAGTAAAAACAGTAAATTATGCATAATTACAAGTAACTAACCCTAAACGTAACTCTATATCCTTGTACATGTAATTGAATAATATCCTCCTGAGACCCAAGAATAGACTTTTGTCCACTGTAGTGGACATTATATTTTAGTGAATTTCTCTGACATCATACATGTCACATGACACAACCTGGGTGTCCTGTAAAGAGCACATTCAGGACTTTTCAGAGATACCAAATGTTTGGAGGTTTCACCATGAAAACAACTTCTCCTTGGTCTTTAAAAATGTCTGACATTAATTTAGTGATCAAATGTAGCATTCTTATGGAAATATGATAATATAGTGTAATTATAATATAAATTGGACTACTTTTCAAATTGTATTTCATAAAACAACATCTCAGGAAAATGTTAAGGGGTTAAAAAAAAAAACTTTCTGTTACAGAACAGGGCATTGATTTCAAACGTGTCCACTGTAGAGGACATCAGGACTAAAATCATGTTTATCAGGCATTCTGGGAGACACAACAAGTGAATATGGAAATAAATTATACATCAATATTCCTATGAAATGTTAGATATTATTATTAAAATGTTGCCAATTATTACTCCAATTATTACCCTTTATTCTTTCATTAAATGTTGCTCCCAGAACACATTAATGTGCAAATTAGATACAGTGTATAGATACATTGCATTGAATGGGAATATTAACTTATGGCCATTTTACCCACATATTGCAAAAAGTAAAATGGTGTATCAATTCATTCCATTATTTCTTTCATAACATAGTTGAGAATAATCTTTATACAAATTTTGGTTGAAAAAATCCTGAAACCCCAAAATGTATTGGTGATTGGAAAAAAAAATCCCATTGTTTTTGCCTATACATATAATTTCATGTCATTTTATTTTTTAAACAACTTAGTCCTGGCATCCACTACAGAGGACATAGCATAACGTATGAATAAAATATTATTTTATATATATATGTTTTTTTTACCATTTGTTTATTGTGCTCTAAACAGTGTGATGACATGGAAAAAAACTAAATTCAAAAAACTTTTTTTTTTCTGGGTCTCAGGAGGCTATTACTCTGTACTTATTTGACAACGTCTACTTCGTCACCTTAAAATAAAGTGTATCCAATAATCTGTAATTACATCTATAATGACACTGTTGACCCTTTCCCACCCTTAAAGGGGCATTATGCAGGAATCCCATTTTTGTCAAACAGCGACCCCTAGAGAATTTAACGTTACTGTCGTAAATACCACTCACTCAGAGCGTGACATGGCCTATTACATAGTATACAATAGTACATTGTGTTTAATTTGTCGTTTAATGAGATCTAATGTTGTTAGTGGTGAGAATTTTCACGTGATTAAATACATAGATCCGACAATTATCCTCATGAACTTTAATGGTCCAGAGGCAGAACTTTTGCCAAGTGTGTCAGAGGTTCTGGGTTAGGGGTGTAAATCGGAGCCTACATGACGATTCGATACGATACCGATTTCTTAAGCCAATGATTCGATTATTTTCGATACTTCAGAATTCCCCGCGATACGATTCGATTCGATACGATTTAATAATCGATATTTTTACATGATATCTATTAAGTTTCAAATAAATCAACAAAAATGTTTAGAATTTGCCTTTTATTGAGAATACAAGAACAGTATTATATTCACATAATGTGTATGTTGTGCTCAATGCACTGCAAATAGAACAGCAAATATAACAGTTACTGCATACAGTTCTAAACTTGATTCTATCGAATCCTGGTGCGTTTCCGTGCATCTTACGTCATCGCAAACGTGCACGACGCATGATTGAAAACAGAACGCGGGTCAATATATTGTGTTTTTTATTTTATTTGGTGCTATTATGCACAGCTGAGTGAACACCGGTTTACTGTGTGTCGCATTTGGCTTTTTGCTGATTGCAAACGCAGGAGACAGTGGATTTCCATTAATTTGTTGCCCTGAGTCCACGCGCTATGTGTGTGCGAATACAGACTCACTCTCGCTCTTATCCAAGGTAAATTATCAACACTATCATCCCTTACATGTGTTTTATTTAACTAAATACATCATAATCAGCTAAAAAGAATGGTCACTTACTTCCTGAACAAGTGCACATCCGAATCTGTGATGCTTTCACATTCACGCGAGCCGCCGCGGCACGGTTCGAGTGCAACCGAACTCAGCGCACCTCCTCCAGGCAGTCTCGGGTTTGGTACCCCAGTGCGCACCCGGGTCCGCATGACAGACAGCGTTAACATAATTAGCGATTTTTCATGCGAACTGTGCCCGTTCCGTTCCGAGTTGGTGTGAAAGCACCCAGACTTTTCAAGTAAGCTGTTGAAGTAGCCTTTTGTACACGTTAGCGCCTGTTTGTTTACGTTAGTAACTGCTAGCTTGGAATTCGCCGACTAAGTGACTGAGGGTGTATATTCACACTGGCAGTTTAGTTCGGTGACTAACTAACGTTAGCCCAGTGCATAACAACAATCATTTGTACGCATATGAGCGGATGCTGAAAATAGACAGGCGGCAAAACAAACACATTAATCGATACTCTTGCGGACGCATCGATGCATCGAATCGTCGGCTGTATAAATCGATGCATCGATACGAATCGATTAATATTTACACTCCTAGGTTCTAATAGTATAGTTTATTTTCCTCATCAAAACCAAATGTTTATTAGTGGTTGTATTTCAAGCAGGGACATGTTTTTTGTGCATTAGGTTTTGTGATTTCACCATAACAAATATAGAGAGTCTCTCAGTCCCCGCAACGGATTCAGGCGCGCGTCCATGTGCAGTCTATGGTGAAGACAGTGCGCACGTCACAACAGAACACTAGTAACTTATCTGCACCACTGATCGCAGAGGCAACGAGCTTTGGTCACTTGATTTCAAAAATAACACATTTCAGATCGCCTCTTATTTAACAAACGAACGAAATGAATGCTCTACTGGAGTTACCTGGAGATGTTTTATTTGTTTGTATTGGTACATCCGTGCCGCGAGAGGTTTCAATGGGGACATAACACACCTGCAAATTATGCCTATGCTCGTGTCTGACTCCTCGGTCAGTCAGTCTGCCGTTTCCTCTTTCTCTGTTCCTCCGACAATGCTTTCCTAGCTTTCTGCATCTTATATGCCGGCTCAGCCATGACGATAGTGTGACAAACTCCATCCCTCTATACCTTGTTCCTAGATGGGGGTGTGTATGTGTGCAGTTGCCGTAAAGGAATATGTTACATCGCGAGAGCTGATATCACGCGATACTTCCTGACACTAAGCACGGCGGCCCGCCGCACCGAAGTTGCAAGTGAGATTTTTACGCTCATAGGCACCAGGGGGGGTCGAGGCGCCCACCATTCAACCCGAAAGAAGTTATATAACCATTTCAATAACTCTGAAGCTGTTCAGTTAAGCTAAAAAAGCTGCATAGTGTCCCTTTAAACCAACCCATACCCCCAAACCTGTCCTAACCTCGCCTGCCTCCCATCTCAATAGTAGCACAAGCGTTTTGCAACATCAACACAATAACTACATTGGACCTAACAGTTATTGTTAACACTTTATTTTAGTGTCTTTGTTACACGTTACATGTACTTACTACAGTAATAACAGTAAATAATGCATAATTACAAGCAACTAACCCTAAGCCACAATATATACCTGTAGTTAATTAGTATTACTCAATACTTAATTGTATAATTACACTGTAACAAGGATATCTTAAAACAAAGTGTAACCCAATTGTTATTTTTGATGCAAGTACATATTAGTAATTAAAGGAGGAACTAATATAAATTATGACCAAAACAGCAAACCTCAAAACCTGACAGGATGCGTCAATCGCACGCTGATGTTTTCAGCAGATAGATTCATCAAAACTGATGTAAATTTGCAAGCAGAGAGTCCTGTCAGCAGCAGCTGCATTCAACATGCAATTGCAAGTAAGTGTGCACTTATTAAACTACTCAAGAGCGTCCAACACACTTTGAGGATAGAGAAAAAGACAGAGATGCTAAGACCAGCATAATAAACAAATTCAGTGAGATATCAGGCTTACCTTCCATCTGCCCTAAGACACCAGCAGCCTGAGATCCTGGCTCCCGAGTATGCTGGGAGTGTGTTCATGATGGGACAGACAGATGAGATGAGAGCTCCAGAGAAAGATCCGCGCTAATGTAACCGCCGGGACGTACACATACACGGGCGCTCAGAGCGCCTGCCCTCTGGCAAGCCGAGCGGAGCGAGAGAACAGGAAGAAAAAACGAAAGTGAAGCAGAGGGGAGGAAAACAAAACTGTGCTTTCTACATCGGTTTTGTTTTACCAGTCACTAGCGTTAGTGGGCTGGGACCATTCAAGACAAACCTTTCCCTCGCCCCAACATGCTACTATGGACACTGCCAACAAACGTAAGAGGATAACCTGTCCCGCAGATTATGTTTGGTGGGTGGTATTAATAGCAGCAGGTTGGAAACACGCAGAGCTCACACACCCCTCCGCTGGCCTCTCACGGGGCGGCTCATCTGTCTGGGACACTCACACAGGCTGTTACTGACGCGGGACGGTGACAGAGCGCGAGGCAAAGCAGCGATTTTGAATTGTGCTCTTAGGCTCGGGACATAAACAAATCAGGTTGCTCTGTGAAGCGGGGAGCGGTGGAGGAGAGGCGCTCTGAGATCACCTTATCAACCGGCCCGTCCTCTGGGGCGTCGCTCCACCTGCTCCCCCTCCCGGGACACCCCTCACAAACATCATGATGAAACTCACTACCACCGTCACAGCCCGTACTGGGGTGCGTTTCCCAAAAGCATCGTTGGCCAACTATGATCGCAATTTCCACTGAACTCTATTGGTAACGCCGGAACTTGCGACTATGGTTGGCTTTGGGAAACTATCCCTTTAAGAGTCAGCATCTAAACTGAATGAAACTAATGTTACAGCAGTATTTTAATAATGTATTATTGTTATATAATGCAGAAAGTTGAACATGTAAACTTGCTATTAGAATCAACCAAAAAGATTAAAACATTATAGCTGTTATACACACAAACTCGTAAAAAAATCACAAATCCTAAATCCTAAAAAAATCTGAATTTTCAGCATCATTACTCCAGTCTTCAGTCACATGATCCTTCAGAAATCATTCAATATGCTGATATGAAACTCAAGAAACATTTATAACGATTATCAAATATCAATGTTGAAAACAGCTGTGCTGCTTAATATGTTTAAAGGGGTCATATAATGGTACATGCACTTTTTCAAGTTGATTGTACTGAAATGTGTGTTGGCAGTGCCTGTACACAACCATCATATAATGATAAAAATCCATCCAGTGTTTTTGTTTTAATCTCCTTATATGTTTTCCCTGTGTCAAATCGAGCCGTTCGAGCCTGTGACGTCACACGCTCGGAAGCCCCTCCCACGATTGTTGAATGACAGCCGCGTTTCAACACAGACCCGCCCTCGCTCGTGAGCCAGCTGTCAATCATAGTCTGCGCGGAGCGGCGCGGTCATTGTTGATATTAGTGATGTATGTCTCGAGACCGGTCTCGAGACCACTTTTACGTGGTCTCGGTCTTGTCACGGCCTTGACGGTCTTTGTTCTCGGTCTTGTCTTGGTCTCGCTGTCTCAGACCGACATAGTGGTCAGGGGATTGAGCAATACAATACTACAATATCCACAACGATATCCGCAACGTATTGAAGCGCGCGTCCGAGTGAAGACCAGTGGCGGATTTAGCAAATTGGGGGCCCAAAGCGAAGGTACGTATGGGGGCCCCCCATTCCATCTTTATGAGAACGGAAAAAAAAAATTACCGACTGAATGGTAGGAAAAGCTAATCTACGGGGAAGTAAAGGTTGGAGAGGAGAAAAAAAAAACCTTCCCCAACAGAGAATAAGGTTTCAGATAACACCTGTCTTTGCCAAAATGCCAGGAAACCCAGCACTGTTTATTCTTTTTTTTAAGATCAAATCAATATCAATATAACCAGCAAGACACATAGTTAGGGTAAACCCCCACAAACAGCCATATTAGCAAATATTGCCAAGATGAATAATTGACTTTGTATGAGGTTGCAATTGGCATTGCACATGAGATTGACATTTAAAACATTCTACAAACAAACATTTTTATAGGTTTATATTAGTTTATATATTTTATAATGTAATAATTTCACAGTTAATCTACAAATGAATGTAGAGACAACATAAATACAGTATATTTTAAATACTTGTTTAATGGCATCTTTTTATGAATGAAGGTCAGTATCACTGATACTAATACAGCTATTGATGTCTGGGTAAAAATGATTTTTTCCCCCTAATTTTAAACATTAATTATAGCAGCCATCCAACATTACAGTGTAATTGAAAGCCAAAAAAATTACATTTTGTTAGGCTTCAAAAAATATATAACAACTTTTAATTTACGTGAACTTAAAACAATCATCAGATAAACCCATAATAAATGTCATATTTACTTTTGCCCTTTCAGTATAACAGTAACGTTATAACTTGCACGTTATCCTCAACTAGCGTCACTTCACAGCTGCTGCTGTAGCGGCATGTGTCCCCAACAGTAGGCGTAAAAAAGTTTGTCATTTTTGGCAGCGTTGCCAAATACATATCGGCGTCTTTTGTCTTTTTTTCTTTTATTTGAGCCGCTTGGGTAACTTCGTTTCATTTTCGCGTTTAGACTCGTCTTGCTTCGTTGTGTACTTCCCAGTCCTCCAGTCATGTTTATCTCTCGCGGTTTCGCGCCGCGCGCCGTTCGGACTAGTCCATTTTATTGCGAAAGTAGGGGGTGTTATGTGTAGGGACAGATAACCATGAACTTGACATTTTAACTACTACTTTAACATTTCAACGTATTTCTTAAGAATATTAATAACATTTACTATGCCTTTGAAGCGTTCATGATGATAAGGGGCTTTTTCTTTTCTTTTATATATATTTTTTTGAGGTTGGTTGGGGGGCCCCCCTACTACGACCGCTGGTAGGGGGCCCCAAGCAGCCGCCTACCTATGCCTCTATGTTAAGACCGCCACTGGTGAAGACAGTGCGGTGCGCGCGAGCCACGCGAGAAAACACTGTATCCGCGCCACTGATCGCAGCGGCAACGAGCACTTTGATCACTTGATTTAAAAAACACATATCATGTACAGTTTTTGATATATTAATATTTAGTAAAACACATATCAGTGACATGATGGGTTTTACCTTCATTCAGGAGATGCTGCACAACTGACAGATGACTTTGAGCGCACCGCCAACGGTGTGTGTGTGTGTGTGTGTAACCATAGCGACAAAAACGACCAACTTTCGGATCCTGCACGACTTAAGCCTATAATTTTGTTTTTAAAAATATAATTATGTATTTAAAAGTTGCAGAATGGATTCATTTGGAGACTTCGAAATCAGCAGAGATAGGCAGGCAAATGCAAAACAACATTTGACAAGTTATTGCTTAGCTTCAACACTAATGTTTTTTTCCCCTCCGGTCTCGACTTGGTCTCGGTCTTAGTCTCGACTTGGTCTTGGTCTCTACTTGGTCTTGGTCTTGTCTTGGTCTCGATACCATCTGGTCTTGGTAGTGTCTTGGTCTCGGTTTAGGCGGTCTCGACTACAAGTCTAGTTGATATGCCGGAGCACTGTCTATGAGCAGAATGGCGTCTAAGCGATTGTGGTGTTCTGTTCTTGGGTGTAATAACGAAGACAGCAGTCATTTTAATGTTCCTAAATCCGAACCGCTGAAGACGCAGTGGCTGTGTTTGTTTTCGATGGGAATATTCCCCACGAGCAACGTCAATGCTCTCATGTTTGCGCGAATCATTTCTCAGCAGACTGCTTTATAAACAAGGGTCAGTATAAAGCTGGTTTTGCTAAGAAGCTGCTCCTGGACCGGTACCAACTATTCGTGTTCCTGCTGAACCTCCAAAATAACTGAAGTGAGTGTAAAGTTTTATTAACCTTTAATATTTATATTAATCTTTGCAAATCGCTAGCTGCACGCTTCACAATGAATGCGTCTAAGGTTTACACTCAGTCAGGGTACATTACGGCATGTTTTCTATGTACAACGTTCTCAATATAATTCATAATCCCACGTCTATAATGAACAACGCGTTATGGTTATTGTGTTATTGAGTTACAAACGGTGTACGCACAGAACAGAGAGGCGGAGTGAGCGCAGCTCATGATCATTTAAAGGCATATGCACTGAAACGGCGTGCTGATAACAGCTGTTTTTGACCAGGTAAAATAAGCGTTCTTACAATACTAAGGAGAATTTTTAATTAAAGTATATTACAAAGTTTTAATTTAGACTCTAAAGAATCATATTAGCTTGTACAAAAATGGCATTATATGACCCCTTTAAGGAAACCAGGACAATTTTTTTCAGGATTGTTTAATGAATATAAAGTTCAAAGTAACAACGTTTAACTGAAATATATATCTTTAGTAACACTATGAATGTCTTCACTGTCACTTTTGATCAATTTAATGCATCTGTGCTGAATAAAAGTATTCATTTCTTCTTCTTTTTTTTCAAACCTAAAATAAGTAGATTCAAAGCCCAGAAGAGGAGATCACTAACATGGATGCAGTGAAGCAATGGAGATTCTTTGTACGACATAAACCTATTAACCATCTTATTCTGCTTTTAGATCTCGCTCCCAAATGTCAAGACTTCCTCTTTCTACTTCAATCCTAAACACGTGTATGAAAGACATTCCCAACAACAACAACAACAGCTGCTGGTCTGGATATGTGTGAAGGCACAGTCACGTGACCCGCGCTCGCGGTGATGTCACAGAGTTAGACGAGCGCGCCCTCTCGCGTCGCTCTGCCGCGCTGCAACGCGGAGTGATAATGATTCAGCCTGATAAATATAAGTAACTATAATAATACAGTTGCAGTGTCGCATAATATAGTAAATTATACTCCAAATTAGTTCTGTTACTTAATCATTTATTTGACCTATTATTAGTTTAAAATACCATCCAAACATGTGTAATTAATACCATTCAACCATGTTAAGCCAACCCGACTACAGGTGTCGTTCACAATACTGTTTAGAGTAAGTGAAGTAACGTTAGTTTAATTACATGTAATAATAAGGTGTGGCTGAAAAATCGGTCCACAGAAATAACGGCGATGATCCTCCATGAGTCACTGTCAGACTCCTGAGACCTTCGCGACATGTGCTTCGGTGTCATTCACCAGGGGTGAGCAGCAGGAACACACATTTACTGACAAGACCATTTAAACAGAACCAGACGCACAAACACAACATATTCACAGTCACGGACTGAGGAAACAGGGTTACAGTTTCA